AAGCACAAGCTGGTTGTAATTTGTGCAGAGTGGAGGGGGTGTCACTGCTGGTGATATTCAGCACTCTGAGAACTCCTACTATCTGTCTCTCTACCCAGTCATGAGATAAATGAGAAGCTGTTCAGTGAGCCTCAAAATAAATAAATAAATTATAGCAGAGAAATACTACAGAACACCATTTAAGTGACAGTTCTGAGTCTGTCTGGGGCTGCTGATATCACATGTCACATTCAAAATGGTGGCACCCAAAAGAAGTATCATCCTAGATTGTAAGCTCGAAAGAGCAGGGCCCTCGAACCCCTCGTGTATTGTTTTGTTACTGTATTGTCTCATGTACTGTCCCCCACTATAATGTACAGCGCTGACCAAACCTTTCTGGCACTATATAAATACTCTATAGTAATAATAATAGTGTTTAATATTGTTAAGTCATCCATAATTGCAGGAAGATGAAATCCACCAAACAATGCACTTTGACATATAACCATACAGGAAGAATATTTCTGATACCAGTTAATATTGGCACAAAACCTTCAGGCTTCTGCTAGAAAGCTGAACACGAAGAGGAACTTCATCTTTCAGCATTAAAACAACCCAATGTATACATTCAAATCAACAAAGGAATGGCTTCATCAGAAGAAGATTAAAGTTTTGAAATGGCCCAGCCAGAGCCCAGACCTGAATCTGATCAAAAATCTGTGGGGTGATCTGAAGAGGGCTGTGCACAGGAAATGCCCTCGCAATCTGACAGATTTGGAGTGTTTTTGCAAGAAAGAGTGGGCAAATATTGCCAAGTCAAGATGTGCCATGCTTATAGACTCAAACCCAAAAAGACTGAGTGCTGGAATAAAATCAAAAGGTGATTCAACATAGTATTAGTGTAAGGGTGTGCACACTTTGTTACAGTTTATAAGTCACATTAAAGATGGAAAAGGTTCTGAAATTATTTATCTTTGTCTCATTTTTTTACATCACAGAAACATGACATTTTAACAGGGGTGTGTAGACTTTTTATATCCACTGTACAGTAAGTGCTTTTACCTAGTACTAGTTCACATTGTCCACGCCATTCCTTATGAGACTGATCGAGACATGTTTCATGTTTGGTTCTGTGGTCCACAGATATCCTGATTTTAATTTAAAAAATGCTATTATAAAAATATAATTGTCTGATTAAGTAGCATTTAATATTATTATTGAAATAAAATACAAATAAGAATTTAGAAAAGTAATAACATAAAAAGAAACTTGGACCCTCTTTATAATCTATAAGTCATGTTCTGTTTCAGATGCCACCTTATGCATTGACATACCTCCTTAAACCCAGTCCGTCTGAAAAGTAAAATTACCTGCTGACTTGGCACCATACAAAATCAGCATAACTCTTCAATAAGACACAGAGGTTGAATTCAACACAATTTTACTTCAGTTAAGTGCAGTACAGAGAATGTTTTTCCAGTATTTTGATGTGTAAGAAGACAATGACTTTCATAGGCCCTGACTCTGTCAATGACTAACACTGACTGAGAGAACAAGGAAGAAATTGGGAGGGCCTAGCTAGGACTGAACTAATTGTCACTAATCAGAAAGGGAGGACAGAGGAAGACACCAAATTACATAGTAAACAACTTGTAGTGGCCGAAAACTGCCACTAGATGTCAGCATAATATATAGCAATAATCACCTCATGCAGTTCAAATAAAACACATAAAAATACATAAAAGTGAGTCAGAACAAGGTGCGAAAACGCTAGATGATATAGATATTGAGATTGTAGAGGCCAATTGGACTTGGATTCTAAATCACTGGGGGAAAATGGTATAAGTGATTTTGAAGAGATGTGTATTGGTTGGTGGTGGTGGCGGGGTGGGATTGTGGTGGAGGGATGTGGTGGCGCTGGTAGGGTGGAGGGCACCCAATTCTACTGTTGCCTAGGTCAGCACATAAACTAAATACACCACTGGTTATCAGGGGAGAGGACATAAAAAGTCAGTGGAGGAGCAGAGAGGACAGTTTGGGGAGTACTGCCTTTGAGGCAATAAATGTTATTCTCAGGTTCATTGGCAGCCAGTAAAATATTAGTAGACAGAAAAACAGTTGAAATTTGATAAGATAAAAAGATGGGTCTTAAATAAGCATTTTTTTTCAGCAGTGCCCCTCTAGATAGCCAGGGGGAGCTAGTTAAAAAGATTTTTAGCTAGAAAGGCTGAGTAGCATCCTGAGCTGAGCCAGAAGGTGAGTTTTAGGTCAGGGCTGAGAGGCTCTGCAGATCAGTTCCTTGATACCTCCCCCTGCTCTAGAAACCCGGAGAAGGTTCTAGATGCAGTGGGAGGGGGTGAGGAGGGGTTGAACTGCACACTTAGAGGACTCTTGTCAATCTCCACAAGGAGGCTTGGCATGGGGCCAGGCCGGCCTTTAAGGCTCCATGCACCCTCACATTTATTTTAAGATCAAAAACACTAGGAAAAACACTGGATAAAAAACGCTGGTAATAGCGTCTTGTAGTAACGTTTTAGTAGCATTCATAAACTATTAGGAGCATTAGCATTTTATTAGTGTTTATACAGTACATGTAGAGGAAAACAAAATCTAGAAAAAAGCTGCTAGAAGCGTTTTAGTAGAGTTTAGCAGCATTCAGGAGTGTTTATGGGCATTTAGCGAGGTTTATTTTCTGCTAGAAAAACGCTATAAAAACTCTACAAAAACAATTTTTTTCTGCTCCAAGACACTAAAGCTCAAAAAATGCTAATAGCCTAAAGTAATGTGCATGGTCACATAGGATAACACTATTTAGCTTCTAGGAGCAAGAAAAAATATGCTGATATAGCTTCTAGGAGCTTAAAATAACGGTAGTGTGCATGGAGCCTAAGTGTGACTGAGCTTGCTCAGCAGCCAGAGAGTTTGGGTGGAAGATGTGAGGAAGGCTGAAATGCAGGAGCCTGGGAGTAGGCCCAGTGGAAAGAAGCCTTCCTACAGGCCAAGACCTGGAAAGGAGGATTACTCAGCCTCATCAGTTCCCAGATGGAGGACCACCTGTGGAGCCAGGGAAGGAGCCAGCTCACCAGAAGGCCTGAAGGCAGCCACCAACCCAACCAGCTCACAAGCAAAGACTGAGTGAGTAATCCTACACTCCCTGGGCCAGAGAAGAGGAAAGGGCATTCTGGTGGGAAACCTGACTAGCTCCATAACTGGGACTGTGTAACTTAAAGTGGCAGCTACTGGATCCCCTTGACCAGGGATTTCCTCCAGATAGCAGGAAGAGAAGAGGATTCGTCTGGGGTCTGGACAGGCTGGAGAGCTCTCCTAGTGGAGACTTTGCTGTATAGAGACTTGCATATAGCTGCCAGGATGTTGTCCTCAGTTTGCAGTTCCCTTGGGCATCTCATACATCCCTTACCCCATCCAAGTTCAGTGCCCCAAATAAAACTAAAAAAAAAAAATAAGCTCAAAGACTGTTTACTATCTCCGGAATGCAAGTCTGTGAAAAATGAGTGTTACCTGGCTGTGCAGTACTATAGGGGGACCAAAATCTTCAGCAACTACTAAGTAGTGCTACATTTTCTAATTCATTGTACAAATACACAGTAGTAGTATTCACAAGTTTGGATGAAAGAGAATATTTAGGATTGTTGTATAAATGTTGTGTGTGTTTTATGATTCTTGAGTAAAAACATTTATAAAAAGACCCCTTGGAACACTATCACCAAGACCATGGTGGTTGATTTAATAATAGCAAATAAGCTGTTCACTTTGCAGGGGAGAGTTCCCTTAGCTTATGAATGTGGTGAAATTTTACTGTGCAAAGAGTATCCAAGGAAAATAAAAATAACAGTAGTTTTGTTTACACATAATTGGATGGTGGCATGACACCAAGTAATATGGACACCTACCACAGGACACAGGTGTAGTGGTACCCCCCGTAGGAGAAATCCCTTACATAGGTCCCTGATGTTTCTTCCTGTAGTTTCGCTCAGCCAAGCACACAAACATAGTCACATTTTGGCTCAGTAAACAGTCTAGGCGTGTTCTTTTTGGTGCTTTTATTTTTAGGAATTACTTGGATAGGGATTGTGGATGAGTGGGATGTTCCAAAAAGAACTATGTACACAATGAGGACATTACATTTCTTCTGCAACACTTTAAGCAAAGTCCTTGTAGGGGTCAGTAATGGACATAGCTTAGTTGAAGTAGAGAATGGCACTTGAGCGCTGGAAGATTTTACCCACTTCATGACCAGGCCATAATTTGGTATACCACACTGGTATTGTACACAATGTACAAACATGAAATTTATACCATTTTTTTCACAAATAGAGCTTTCTTTTGCTGGTATTTGAGCACCACTGGGTTTTTCATTTTTTGCGATACAATCAAAACATACTGAAAATTTTGAAAAAAACACAATATTTTTTGCTTTCTGCTATAAAACATATCCAGTAGAAAAAAAAAAATCTAATTTCTTTGTAAATGTTGGGCAAGATGTATTCTGCTACATGTCTTTGATTAAAAAAAATCTCATATTGATTGGTTTGTGGAAAAGTTATAGCGCCTACCTACAAACTATGATATACTGTATATACTGGAATATTTATTTTTACACTAATAAAGGCGGTGATAAGCAATGTATAATGGGATGGTGATAGTGTGCCAGGCAATCTGACACTAACTGACGTTGGGGGGAACTAACTAACTGCCACTGACATTACCAGTGACATTAATACAGTGATCAGTGAGAAAATTATACACTGTCAGTATACTAATGACACTGGCTGGGAAGGGGGTTAACATCTAGAGCGATCAAGGGGTTAAATGTGTGCCTAACTATGTGTAATGTGCATAAAGTGTGCTGCTTTTACTAAGAGATCTCTACGTTTCTCATCCCTGCAAAGAAGCACAAAGATTGTTCCCTCTACACAGAGAGAGCTCAGGGCTGTGATAGTACACAGTTGATTAGCAGATTCTGGCTGTAAATCATTGGCTGGGACTTACTGACAGGCTACCACTGTGTACAATCATACGCACCCAAAACCCAGAAGTAGGCAGCGGCATACGGGTACGTTCAGGGGCAGACTGACAACTCATGGGGCCCCCGGGCAATAGGGGATCAGGGGCCCCTGTGCCCTTGTCCAAACTCAAATGCCTATGGGTACCAGGGGCCCATGGGGCCCCCTACTGACCCGAGCCCTTGGGTGCCCGAGTTTCCAAATGGTCAGTCCGCCCCTGGGTACATTGCTTTGCAGTGGCTGCCCGTCTGCAGTAATTGCTGTTGGGTTAGCAGCACTAAGTGTTTAAGCAACTTGAGCCTCTTGAGTAACTTGAGTCTTTTTAACACAGAACAAGATGGACTAAGCTCTTCTGGATACCAACCTGTATCTCCTTTTCCTGTACTCTTAGCTGACTCTCAAGCACCAGAGTGTTAGCAGTAGCCCTCAGTCTCTAGAATCTCTCCCACAGTCTGTTCTCATAAATGTCTTTAGATTAATGGATACCTCCTTCCAATGTCTTCCAGACACTATTAGTTACCTCGGACAGTCTCTCAGTCTTACCTAGCCCAACTGAGGCCTCATAAACAGCAAGCACATGGCAGGACTGCTCAGAGGGCAGCAGGCCCCCTGGGCTGGACTCCTCTCCAGGACAAGACAAGAAGACTCTAGATCTCAGACTATTTATACCTATTAGCAAACAACCAGCTGTGGAGGGCCCACAAAGATCAGCTGGAACAGTACAAATATTTAGGTTGCCCATTTACATTACTCCACACCTACTGTATGTTCCAGAATAATGCAGGTTACTCTGGAGATACAGAGTGGGAGCAAATACATCTGCAGCCTGTGAGACACAGAGCAAACCCTAAACAATTATATGCAGCTGCACTAACTACAATGAGCTAGAACTAAACCTGCCTAACCCAGAATTGCAGCCACGCGGAGTGCAGTGAAACACGCTGAATTTACTTAACAATAAAAATACAACTCCACTGGATACAGCGAGCCAAAATCAAATCTATCTACACCTACCACCTATCTAGGAGGGTGCTACACATGCTGGTACATTGAAAATAAAAACAATACAAATACATCTATTAACTAAAAAATGATGACTTCTAGAGAAAAGTTTTTTTTTATCTTCCCTGCACTGAAAATACCATACACTCTTAGTGAATTTTTATGTCTGACATAGCAGGCAGTTCTGATGAAATGTATCTATAAAAAAAAAAATTTTTAAATTGATTTCAGGTACTTGTATAGCGCCGTCAATTTTACGTAGCGCTTCACATATATATTGTACCTTTACATAAAATACACTTTGGTGGATCAATCTGTTATAGAAATTCTGCCTAGCTAAAAAAATATATTTAGGTACATAAGTTTTCTAAAACCTCTGCATTTATTGCCAAACATCAGTACTTCTCAAAAGAGTTCTAATCAAAAGAGCAATCTAATACTCAGCTAATGATGCTTTGAAAAAATGACTAATTGGTAGCCTCATGTGTTTCATAACACCATATGTTCTAAATTTCCTTAACATAACTCTGTCAAGATGTACTAATGGAAAGTTTCTTTCTATTATTTTAGTGCTTAATCAGGGTAGAACCTAATAATGTCATTAAACAACATTAAAACAGAACTAGAGTATTTTCCTTCACTGCCTGTTGTGAAGGATGTCATTTCATAACCATTAAAGAATATGTCAACCCAACAGTTCATATTTCTGATATGTGCCTGCAGTACCACATTCTTGTATGAAAAACTATAATGTACCCATTGTATTGCTTCTTTTGTATGAAATCCCTGATGTTCCTGACAGTCCCTCTGCTTTCCTTTTAAAAACTGACTACACTAGTCATACACAATGTGGTCAGTTCTCTAGGTGTGCTCGGAACTCAGTGTGCTTTCCTCCAATGATCAGACTTCTGCTGACATCACCCCCCCTTCAGCACAGCCATTAATTGGGAAGATCAGTGTGCTGCTGTTTCTCCACCCCTTGCTCTCTGAGCTCCTTATGTAGCTGGGAGCAGAGGGAAAAAAGGTGGGAAAAAGTATTTCTAAATATATATATAAAAAAAAAATATATATATAAATATATATATATATATATATATATATACACACACACACAGTATATACACACACACAAATGTTTTGCTTTTTATTTCTATTTTAAATGGAATGGGTTGTTTCGCAATGGGTTTACATATCCTTTAAAGAGATATACTTACTGTCTGCTACTGTCACCAGGAAAGGGAACACAGACAGCGTGTATTCCTTTCCAAACAAAAATGGCTGGAGCTTTGCTTTAAGCAAAAAAAAAAAAATTCAGCTGTAAAGGGATTTTGACAGCATGTTTTCACAATGATAAAATGCAGTTTTTCTGACAACGTGAGCATAAATTAAAGACTAGAAAGTACATAGGAGCTCTACACTTTCCACATAGTGATATACTACATATATTGCTAAACTACGCTCTAGGAGAATGCCAGTAAAATAAACATGCTGCATGTAATATCTTGTCACTGCAGCTCACATATTAGTGACTGCTTTCTGTATGACTCACTTCTCTTTGCTGATGACTGTGTTTCCCTGCAGTTCCCTCACTTTCTCACTGTGATTATGATTCAAAGGGGTTGATTTACTAAAGGTAAATAGTTTTTTCACTTTGCAAGGGAAGTTGCATCTTGCAAGATAAGTTTCCCCAAAACTAAGTGATTGAGGAAAGGGCTACTGACTTCTATCATGCAATCATGTACAAGCAAAAAAGCTGTTTTTTTAATTTTTCTTAAATGTAATTGAGTTTTATTTGCAAAGTGAAATTTCACCACATTCACTAATCTCTTGGAAAAATTCCCTTGCAAAGCAAAAAGCCAATTTGCCTTCAGTAAGTTAACCCCAATGCACAACTGATGATAACAAAACTAACTGTAAATTAGAGTAGTAATTCACACTATTGGAGAGCTGCAAGAACAACTACTTTGGAGGGACAGGCATTTTCTGTTCTGGTCACTGGCTATCTAGGTTTTTTAAATTTGCCCATTAAGATCTTAAAGAGAACCCGTGCTTTACACATGCAAGGAAGAGCAATGGGTTTACTTTAAAGCAGGCCCCCACAAAAGTTCTGTGTAAGCTCCATATGGATCCCAATTAGAGCTAAAACAGGCCTCCATATGACATCATTGGGCCTATTACCAAGCACCAGCACTGTTCATTAGGAGGAAGGGAGTAGTTGATGTGATCTAAATATCTGGAAGTACAAGCTTTTGTAGTTGCTTCTGGCAAAAAAAAGAGTGACAGAGTAGGAGGAAAGGCAAGTAAAGGCAGGGAGTAGGCCAAGCTTTAATATGAACCTGCACACGATTAAAAGAGCCTGATATAATTCTCAACTTGGCAGAAATAATGTATTACAGTAATATGTTGAATTGCTCACCTATGCAGATTTTGCAGCTCTGCTCCTCCAAATCTTCTCGATTTTTAATAAAAGTTCATTTTCACACGCTAAGATTCCAGCTCTTTCTATGAGGGAGATCACTTCCCCTTGCCTATTCTCTGGTCACTGGATTACAGATCTTCTCAATGCCATTTGTTCTATTGTTAGGTTAATTTCAGGCAGCCAAAATATCTCACATAGGAGTGCATATTCTGATTTGCAGTGTCTTTCTCTACCCATTGCCACGCTCTCTGGTTCCTACTTCAGCTCAACATCCCTGAACTCCAAGATGCCAAGAATGTGAAGAAACTTTAAAATGAATAGCTGGTTGTCACCTTGCTAGAGGTTAATTACGTTTTTGAGGCATGCTGCAGTAATGTGGCATTGGTGAAAGGGGGTTTCGGGCTCCCCTTTCACTAACCACTAAGCCACACACCATTCTGTCTATCTACCCAAGTGCTTTCTCACATGCTTTGTGTACATACAAGCAGAATGTGTTATAGGGTGCCCTACAAAACCATACCTCCCATCAACAAGATTGACCAAAACTTTCAGCCAATGATTGATGAGGTCACAGCCCATTGAACAGCAGTGGAATAAGGTATAAAACAAAATTATCATGGATGATGTAGAGGAACAAAGGCAGGTTAAGGACAAATCTAAAAGATGATCCCTGCAATAGAAGAAGAATAATTACTTCTCTGGTAGATAGTGAGTCTGAATTCTGTTGAGTTTAAGTGTTACAGTTTTTGCAAACTTTTGGGTGTGTTGGATGGTTGGATCCATGCTATACTCAGTGGTTGCTCCTTTGGGACCCAACTACACTTCTGTATTCTGCTGTGACATAGGAGTCAGTGGGAGGAACCACACTATGGAACAGGGATGCAACTATTGACACTCAAGGAAGTGTGATTTGATGAAGACGTTTCTAGAGGCTGTATTTCTTGAACACAGTAGAGTTCAGAATTGCTAGAAGAGAAACAAGTGTCTACAGTCTTCTATTGCACTGAGCATTCTTTGAGGCAACAGAACAACTTCATTCATTGATATGTTTTTATATCGTCCTGGAGTTCAACTGAACAAAGCTGAGAACTACTAACATGATAAATAGATCAACCTTAAAAAAATGTGCTCTACTCCCTATTTAATTGCTTTCTGTCCAGCTTAACCGTCCATGATTTCTGCTCACACCCTCTTCTTCCTTTCTTTAAATGTATGAATGCTGATTTGTCATTCTGAGGAACATGAAACATTAATGTAAGCACTTGAACTGAGAAAGTAATGTGCATTTCAAACCAATGTATAAAAGAAACTAGATACACTGTAAATCTTCATGTGTTAAGCTGAGCATTTTCTACCAGGGGAAATGAAACAATGCAATACTATGGGTGTTTGTAGATAAACTGACATTGTAAAGCACAGGAAGCTGCCAAGTTACATCTCCTGTGACAATTAAACAAGGGCACATGAACACTTTAAACAGTTTAGGAATGCCAATTTAATCTTAATTGGGGTCAGAATGTTCTATGAGTCTCCTGGAATCTAAAGAACTTGGAATGCTCTTTGTAACATAACGTACAGCATTAGGCAGCATCTGCAATGGTAAAAACATGTATAAATGAATTAAGCCTTATATTCCTTACAATCGCCCACTGTACAGAAAATGCTTTCAGTGAAAGCCTTATAAGGGCCTAGTGATTAATTCAACCTTTCTCTGGCACCACCTTCACTATATACAATGTCTTTTTCAATTTGGCAGTTGGAAAATACAGCTGTATTTACATCTAGGGACTTAAAATAGT